CATAGTATATTTTGCAAACCCTAAATGTGCTACGACTGTATAATACTTCATATGTTGCTCAGCTATGTCGTCTGAGTACAGCAATACCCCCATATGTACCTTTGCCAGGTATATGTGGACATCGGAGGGGCACATTTGAGACACAGCCATTTCAGTTTTTTTCAAACTTTGAATTTTTACGCTGTGTCCAGGTCCCATTTTGGAGTATTTTAGCAGGCTATATATTCCAACTATCCCATAAAAGCATACCATTTCTCAAAGAAGAAATCCCAGGGTATTTCAAAAGACATATTTGAACCTTAAATTATAATTTTAAAATATTTAAGTTCATTAATTAAATAAGTTGGACCCCTGAGGGTTAAAAAAGGTTTTAAACCTAAGGGGTTAAAAAAAAAAAATCAGATCACAGTATAATACTGTGATCTGTATTTTGACCACTGTTGGCAGTAATCAACTGGCAGGGAAGGGGTTAATTTTTATTAGGACTGGATAAAGGAGGGTGGGATTTTTTTCACTTTTTAAAAACATTATTAAAACTTTTTTATTTTTATTTTTTACTTTTTAAAGTTTTTTTTTAACTTTTTCTTTAACGTTAACCCTTAGCTAGCCTAACACCAAATTCCCCAATTTCCCATAACTCCCACCCACCCCAGCTAGCTAAATATCTCATTTTAAAATATTTACATTAATTAATAAAATAAATTTAACCCCTGAGGGTTAAAAAAATAAATAAAAGTTAACTCTCGGAGGTTAAAAAACGGCTGTATCACTCTGGGGATTACTATATCACTTGTGGCGGACACCCCGATGGGAAGACGGGTTTCGCCACCAGAGATGTTCTTTCCCCCCCTCGTGTGAGTACAGCTGCAATAATCCTGGAAGCCATAATCCTAAAATGCAGTGAAATAGCTGTTATAGCTGTTCCCTACAAGCACGAGACAAGGCTCTGTGTTGATGATAAAACTGGACCTACTTTAATGGAAGCCACAGATGGCTTTTATGCAAGTCCCCATGCAAGGGGTTTCTGATGATGTATTCCAGGGGCATTCCCCACTGGAACTGAGCACACACATAATTACATTACCTCTCAGGTCCAGGACATACCTCAAAATATATATTTAACATTGAGATAACCCTTCAATCCTATATCACCGGATAGCCTGGGTCTGAGCGTCCAACATATCCCGAAAGTGCTTAGATTCCACGAACGCACCCGAAACGCCACTGGGGTATAGTTTAGACCGACCGCATACGAGGCGTCTGCCCAAAATATTTCCATGAAATCAGGCTGTGCGGTCGGTCTTGTTTGGGAATATCAAATACACCATATTTATATATGAATAACAGTTTGTGCATATGTTCACAGTATCTGTCGTTCAGGAGATGTTTTCACCGAACGCTGTTATGTTCGTATAACTAATACCGAACTTCAAATCACTTGCTCTTTTAAGAGCATATGGCTACACTCCCTTGGAGGAGAGGTCTACCCACTGAAAGCTGGATCCTGGTCTTGGGTCCAGGGTTGGTGGAGGACAGCGAGACCCCAACCAAGTGTAACGCTGGAAGTGGGGACTATACAGTACTTATGGACTATACAGTGCTTACCGAGTACTTCTAAGCACTCCACCAGACACCATAATCACCGTAAACCCTACAGCCAGCGTTACAGCTTGGCTGGGTGTCTCGCTGTCCTCCACCCACACTGGACGCAAGAACAGGATGAAGCTTCGAGTGAGTAGACCTATCCTAGTCCAGAGAGTAAAGTAGGCTGCTCTTTCAAAAGCAAGTGATTATAATCCAAGGGTGTACAGTGATTATAGCAATCCCAAGAGTGATTATAGCTATCACCTCCACAACAGGAACTGTTTAATGGCAGCCACAACTGGCCTTATATGCAGGTTTCCTAACATGCATTCCCTACTGGACCTGAGAGGGGACTGTGACAAAGTACACATTGTTATGACATTGGCTCTCAGGTCAAGGACACGCCCACACAAAACAACATTACACACACAGAGCAGTCACACATTACACACAGAATTCACACATTACACACACAGTGCTCATACATTAAACACACAGTATTCACACGTAACACACACATTACACACACAGAGCGGTCACACATTACACACACACAGCATTTACACACTACCATAACACCCAGCATCCACACATTGCACACACAGAGCTCATACATTAAACACACAGTATTCACACGTAACACACACACACAGCATCCACACATTGCACACACAGAGCTCATACATTAAACACACTGTATTTACACGTTACACACACACAACATCCACACATTACACACACAGCAGTCACACATTAAACACACACTGCGTTCACACATTATACACACACAGCGTTCACACATTATACACACAGCATTCTCACATTACACAGTATTCACACATTACACACACAGCATCCATGTGTCACTCATGGCATTTACTTTCTGCACTAAATAAATTATTTCAGCAGTGCTGTGTTTAGAATATTTTATACAATTTCACTGCCGGTGCTGGCTGTTCGGGTAAGATAAAGGATGAAAAGTTTAGTGATGGGTGAGACAGAGGTATGAGCAGACTGATATAAATTCACACGCAGTGCTTGAGTAATGCCCCGATATATGGCAATAAACTGGTCCCCATTTAACAGCCAAGAAATGACTCTTAGCACGACGAGTGCTCTATCACAAGGCGTCTGGGATGGAGGCAGACTGATCCTTTGTTGCTCTCATTACACAGGTCTTAACCAGCATAGAAAGATATTTTACCATCACGGCCACATTCCGAGCTTCACATTGTCCTGAATCCAAGGTTTGTGCAGGAACTGTCTGCACCTCATTAGTCTTAACATAACATGGACACAGAGCCCGCTTTTTGTGAGAGTTTCTGTTTCATATATTCCTGCATTCCCTTGGACTTCGGGTATTTAAACTAAAATGTAAAGAGAACGTGCAACATAAATGGCTTGCTCAAACACTTGCACCCAAAGGGAGCTTCTACTAGCCCATTGGGCTTACAATGAAATCTCGCAATCTGGGCTGTCTGGGATTTCTCAACCCCTGCCATCGATTTAGAAACTGCTATGTCTTGTCAATCAATGCGCACAACACAAATAACGGCATCAGCACACAAGCACAGTGACACAACAACAGAAAAATGAACAAAAACATTAAGAACTAAACTGGAATGAACTAAACAAAGCACTGAAAGTCTAGAAACGAATGGACCTCATCCAGAGATTTATCATGATGTTTTAGCATGACGCCAAACCTCACTTTAGCAGAATGGATGCTCTAGCTACACTTTTATTCCTTTTTGTTCGGCTGTCCATACGGACCCGTTCCTTTACCGGACCCCCATCTCTGTGGTCCCCTTGTTCGCACCTTTTAACAACCAACCAACCCTGGCCTTTAACCACAAATTGCTCATTAAGGAAAGTGTTTCCCCTCTATAACCGAAAGCACGTCTGCAAACTATTGGTGGCCATTTTGTCTACCAAATGCTGCCTTGCTTTCTCTAGAACTGTTTTAGGGCATCTACTTGTGGCCGACCGGTCAAAACTTCATTTGAATGGCGTTCCCGAACCACCGAAGGGATCTGAGTGATATTTCGTCAAAGTGTGCGCTCAAAACCAAGTTATTCGGTAATGTGACTTTCATGGGTCTCCGAAGTATTAAAATGTATTTTTGGGGTGTTTTAAATTATTTTAGTTTTTTCTGTACCTGAGAGATAATTAAATTATAGGTTTTTTTTGCGCAGTTATCTCTTAGGCCTAGAGGATCCTGCGAGGAAAAGCTCTGTATTTTTGTAAAAGAGACCCCATGATAGGGGTCTGTGCATAGAAGCCTTGTGTGGCCAAAATAAGATCAGTTGACTCCCAGAACTATGTGTCGTCTAGTTCCTGGAGGGGAAAGAGTCTTGGAGTATTACACTGTTTCTTTTAACTATGAGGACTGAACAGCGGAGATATCTATGCTGGGTATTGGAGTTCCGCTACACTTCCACTGCGCATGTATTATATACAGCGATGAAAGCGAATGGAAGATCGGCTGAGAGCTCTCAGGCATTTATTTCAAGGTTGTGAAGGGGAACTACCAAATGATCTCTGTTTGGTTCAGAAGAGAAATATCCATTTCAGTAAAAAATGATTATCTGTATAATTGTGAAATGGCCCATAATAACAGTCATATCTTCCAAACTATCAGACTGTTTGATATATTAAGTCACAATGACAGAAATTATTTTCTTGGCTCCCTGAGAATAATGAAACGCGGGCCCATGTGATACTTTGCATGCAGTTTCCTACACAATGGCACATTCTAGAAAGGTCTAGACATTTCTCTTCAGCTGGACCAATAACCTTGAATCTAAGGCTCTAGAATTTATCAGTGGAGTTATCACCACTCATTCAATTTTTCCAATTACCTTAAAATTAATATTATTAAACAGTTGGATTCCTTACTGTGTCACTGAAATCTTGAAATGAAAATATATTTTTTAAAAACCCAGGATTTTTAAAATGTTTATTATTGGCTCAGCAGCATTAATTACATGGAGACTGGGAGCCAAAAAGAGTGAAATCCAATAGTCATCGATAAATATTAAGCTTTTTTGCGAATGGTTTTTCTGTATTGATCCGATATTCAGTAGAAGGGATTCTATCATGGAAAAGTATTGCAGTTTAATTGTATTAGTTAATAACTTCACGTTTGTATAATATTATTAACATTCCCGTACAACGTTTTGAAATTTATGCTCATGACAAAACATATGTGTGTTTTATATTCCCCAGTGGAACAGAGTGATTAATCTTCTCGTGATTCGAGAGGCAGACTGGCCCATCCCTGGAAGAGAAGCTGCGAGTATTGTCCTCAGCTGATTTACTGTAAGTTGAGATCCTTTTAGGTGCAAGAATAAATCAACTTATAACCTCGAATTGTTTTATTTATTTTTTGTTTGTTTGTTTTTGCCCGTAATCCACCGCCAACAGTTGTCCCCTGACACTCACAGGATTATGGGAAATGCATATCAACAACATCTGGAGAGGCAAGGCTGGATAACTAGAGATTAAAAATGGTGAACCAACACTTGACATACAGCCTAGGAATTAGTTTAACCTTTGAAGTTGTCTACAAGGGCCTCAGGCACGTGAGTTGAACAATCAGGATGAGACATACCGTATGGAATGAAGCCCATTAAAGTTTTTGTTCCTTAGCAACATCCTGATATCATCACGAGACATATCTTCGATGGATTACCCAACACACAAGGAGAAGACCTCAGGACTTTACAGTGACTGGCACATGTCTCCTCACACACAATCATGGCTCAGAGATCGACTCGGAGAGAGCTGCCTGGGATTGCCAAAGGAATGAGATCATGCTCCTTGGGGAAGTGTAAAAGTCCTGTGAAAGGCCCACTCTGTGCCAGCCACGGGAGGGTGGGACGGCATGCCAAGGTGTTAGAAGTTTTAGTAATCTCTTGGATAAAACTGCAGGGATTCTGAAACAAACAGATTTCACCGTGGGCTTTCAGAGTGTGGGAATAAGTGGTATATTTATATAATTCAGTTTGTGATTAGAACCCACCGCCATTGAGATGCTCGCTGGCTGTGCGTTGCGCCATTGCCCATTTCATTGTAGAAAGTTTGGGAGGAATCAGCATGAAAATGAATGTGTCTCCTGAAATAAACAGAAACATGGAACGTATACATAAATCAAGAGGTTTGTTTTTTGTTTTTTTCTTGCAGGTAATTTATAAAGCGACAGAATTATTTTTCTCCTTTGCAAATCCCTTTTCCAAAACATCCCGGCTTATTAACGCCACATACACCCCCGTTTCATATTATTTGCTGGTTTAGAAATCATAAGAGATGTTATCCCAAAGTCTTTTTTTCTGCTTTTGCTGTCAATAAAGTGTTACCGTATTACCCGACTATTTCCCTACTACTCTCAGCCAACCCTAAGCTGCTCCTAAACCTTTGCTTACCTTCGCCGTATTCTTTGTAATCTTTTCTCTGCTGGTTAAATATCACAAAAACGTCATTTCTCCAAACTATTTATGGGGGAAATTTAGAGGTGGTTTTAAAACTTTATATGTATATACTGTGCTGTTACCGTGAGAGAGTATTAACCCCTTAAGGACACATGACATGTGTGACATGTCATGATTCCCTTTTATTCCATAAGTTTGGTCCTTAAGGGGTTAAAAGTAAGGCTCCATGTTACCCCATTAATAAGGCTCCATGTTACCCCATTAATAAGGACTCCATGTTACCCCATTAATAAGGCTCCATGTTACCCCAGTAATAAGGATTCCATGTTACCCCATTAATAAGGCTCCATGTTACCCCATTAATAAGGATTCCATGTTACCCCATTAATAAGGCTCCATGTTACCCCATTAATAAGGATTCCATGTTACCCCATTAATAAGGCTCCATGTTACCCCATTAATAAGGCTCCATGTTACCCCATTAATAAGGCTCCTTGTTACCCCATTAATAAGGCTCCATGTTACCCCATTAATAAGGATTCCATGTTACCCCATTAATAAGGCTCCATGTTACCCCATTAATAAGGATTCCATGTTACCCCATTAATAAGGCTCCATGTTACCCCATTAATAAGATTCCATGTTACCCCATTAATAAGGCTCCATGTTACCCCATTAATAAGGATTCCATGTTACCCCATTAATAAGGATTCCATGTTACCCCATTAATAAGGCTCCATGTTACCCCATTAATAAGGCTCCTTGTTACCCCATTAATAAGGCTCCTTGTTACCCCATTAATAAGGATTCCATGTTACCCCATTAATAAGGCTCCATGTTACCCCATTAATAAGGATTCCATGTTACCCCATTAATAAGGCTTCATGTTACCCCATTAATAAGGCTCCATGTTACCCCATTAATAAGGCTCCATGTTACCCCATTAATAAGATTCCATGTTACCCCATTAATAAGGCTCCATGTTACCCCATTAATAAGGATTCCATTTTACCCCATTAATAAGGCTCCTTGTTACCCCATTAATAAGGATTCCATGCTATCCCATTAATAACTCCATGTTACCCCATTAATAAGGCTCCATGTTACCCCATTAATAAGGCTCCATGTTACCCCATTAATAAGGCTCCATGTTACCCCATTAATAAGGCTCCTTGTTACCCCATTAATAAGGCTCCATGTTACCCCATTAATAAGGCTCCATGTTACCCCATTAATAAGGATTCCATGCTATCCCATTAATAAGGCTCCATGTTACCCTATTAATAAGGCTCCTTGTTACCCCATTAATAAGGCTCCATGTTACCCCATTAATAAGGATTCCATGTTACCCCATTAATAAGGCTCCATGTTACCCCATTAATAAGATTCCATGTTACCCCATTAATAAGGCTCCTTGTTACCCCATTAATAAGGACTCCATGTTACCCCATTAATAAGGATTCCATGTTACCCCATTAATAAGGCTCCATGTTACCCCATTAATAAGATTCCATGTTACCCCATTAATAAGGCTCCATGTTACCCCATTAATAAGGCTCCTTGTTACCCCATTAATAAGGATTCCATGTTACCCCATTAATAAGGCTCCATGTTACCCCATTAATAAGGATTCCATGCTATCCCATTAATAAGGCTCCTTGTTACCCCATTAATAAGGCTCCATGTTACCCCATTAATAAGATTCCATGTTACCCCATTAATAAGGCTCCATGTTACCCCATTAATAAGGCTCCTTGTTACCCCATTAATAAGGATTCCATGTTACCCCATTAATAAGGCTCCATGTTACCCCATTAATAAGGATTCCATGCTATCCCATTAATAAGGCTCCTTGTTACCCCATTAATAAGGCTCCATGTTACCCCATTAATAAGGCTTCATGTTACCCCATTAATAAGACTCCATGTTACCCCATTAATAAGGATTCCATGCTATCCCATTAATAAGGCTCCATGTTACCCCATTAATAAGGATTCCATGTTACCCCATTAATAAGGCTTCATGTTACCCCATTAATAAGGATTCCATGTTACCCCATTAATAAGGCTCCTTGTTACCCCATTAATAAGGCTCCATGTTACCCCATTAATAAGGCTCCATGTTACCCCATTAATAAGGATTCCATGTTACCCCATTAATAAGGCTTCATGTTACCCCATTAATAAGGATTCCATGTTACCCCATTAATAAGGCTCCTTGTTACCCCATTAATAAGACTCCATGTTACCCCATTAATAAGGCTCCATGTTACCCCATTAATAAGGCTCCATGTTACCCCATTAATAAGGCTCCATGTTACCCCATTAATAAGGATTCCATGTTACCCCATTAATAAGGACTCCATGTTACCCCATTAATAAGGACTCCATGTTACCCCATTAATAAGGATTCCATGTTACCCCATTAATAAGGCTCCATGTTACCCCATTAATAAGGCTCCTTGTTACCCCATTAATAAGGCTCCATGTTACCCCATTAATAAGGCTCCTTGTTACCCCATTAATAAGGATTCCATGTTACCCCAGTAATAAGGCTCCATGTTACCCCATTAATATGGATTCCATGTTACCCTATTAATAAGGCTCCTTGTTACCCCATTAATAAGGCTCCATGTTACCCCATTAATAAGGCTCCTTGTTACCCCATTAATAAGGATTCCATGTTACCCCATTAATAAGGCTCCATGTTACCCCATTAATAAGGCTCCTTGTTACCCCATTAATAAGGCTCCATGTTACCCCATTAATAAGGCTCCTTGTTACCCCATTAATAAGGATTCCATGTTACCCCAGTAATAAGGCTCCATGTTACCCCATTAATATGGATTCCATGTTACCCTATTAATAAGGCTCCTTGTTACCCCATTAATAAGGCTCCATGTTACCCCATTAATAAGGCTCCTTGTTACCCCATTAATAAGGATTCCATGTTACCCCATTAATAGGGCTCCATGTTACCCCATTAATGGGCTCCTTACATTTACTTTATTAATAAGGATTCCATGTTACTAGTAATAAGGCTCCTTGTTACCCATTAATAAGGCTCCTTGTTACCCATTAATAAGGACTCCATGTTACCCATTAATAAGGCTCCATGTTGCCCATTAATAGGGCTTCATGTTGCCCATTAAATAGGGCTCCATGTTGCCTTTAATAAGGCTTCATGTTACCCCATTAATAAGGCTCCTTGTTACCCCATTAATAAGGATTCCATGTTACCCCATTAATAAGGCTCCATGTTACCCCATTAATAAGGCTCCTTGTTACCCCATTAATAAGGCTCCATGTTACCCCAGTAATAAGGCTCCTTGTTACCCCATTAATAAGGCTTCATGTTACCCCATTAATAAGGCTTCATGTTACCCCATTAATAAGGCTCCATGTTACCCCATTAATAAGGCTTCATGTTACCCCATTAATAAGGATTCCATGTTACCCCATTAATAAGGATTCCATGTTACCCTATTAATAAGGATTCCATGTTACCCCATTAATAAGGCTCCTTGTTACCCCATTAATAAGGCTCCATGTTACCCCATTAATAAGGCTCCATGTTACCCTATTAATAAGGCTCCATGTTACCCCATTAATAAGGACTCCATGTTACCCCATTAACAAGGCTCCATGTTACCCTATTAATAAGGCTCCATGTTACCCCATTAATAAGGCTCCATGTTACCCCATTAATAAGGATTCCATGTTACCCTATTAATAAGGCTCCATGTTACCCTATTAATAAGGCTCCATGTTACCCCATTAATAAGGCTCCATGTTACCCTATTAATAAGGCTTCATGTTACCCCATTAATAAGGCTCCATGTTACCCCAGTAATAAGGCTCCATGTTACCCCATTAATAAGGTTCCATGTTACCCCATTAATAAGGCTCCATGTTACCCCAGTAATAAGACTCCATGTTACCCCATTAATAAGGATTCCATGTTACCCCATTAATAAGGCTCCTTGTTACCCCATTAATAAGGATTCCATGTTACCCCATTAATAAGGACTCCATGTTACCCCATTAATAAGGCTTCATGTTACCCCATTAATAAGGCTCCATGTTACCCTATTAATAAGGCTCCATGTTACCCCATTAATAAGGATTCCATGTTACCCCATTAATAAGGCTCCATGTTACCCCATTAATAAGGCTCCATGTTACCCCATTAATAAGGATTCCATGTTACCCCATTAATAAGGCTCCTTGTTACCCCATTAATAAGGCTCCATGTT